GAGATTCTTTTCACTGATGTTTAATGTGGTCTTCCTTTATGCCATACACCAACACCAAACACCAGACACCGTAGAACTAACAAACAAGGTAAATATAATGGATGTCTTAAGTGTCCTTTTCCTCTGTCCCTTTCTCTGCTGCTAGTCTTCTCTCTCTCTCATTGAAGGACCGGAAGTAGCACAGCGGAAACAATACTTCCGAAAAAATAAAACTTATGGGACTAATTGTATTCAAAATAAAACTCTATCAATATACAAAAACAAATACCATTCATAATGTTGCATAAGAAATACAAAACAAACAAAATGTGCAACTTTGTAAACTTATCCGTTGCATAACACTGACCTTCACAGGATGCACAGAAAACTGCACAGACTCCATGACAGCAGCTACAGATGCTACTGCTAAAGGAAATTGACCTTACTTTGGGAAAAGTCATAAGTATTTGCCAAGCCTCACAGAGCACAGAGCACAAAGCTACAGTTGAAATCTTTTGACAATGCCGGTGGCAGTGGATGCTGTAAAGAAAAGCCCTAGGAGGACAGAAAAAAGACATTTTAAGGACCCGAAAGAGAAATGAAAAGAGAAAGACTGTGAAAGATGTGGATACAAGCATGACCCAAAACAATGCCCAGCGTATGGCAAGGATTGTAGGCAATGTGGTGGTAAAAATCACTTTGCTAAATGCTGTTTTTCAAAGAAAAAAGTCCATACAGTGAGGCAGAAAAAGTCAGCAAGCAGGAGTGATGAGGATGAACCATTATACGTACCTGGATGCTGCCATGCTAACAGACAAGGATGGCGATGAGGATGAATGGATTGCACACCTAAACATCAACGGAGTAGAGGTACCACTGAAAATTGACACAGGGTCACAAATAAATGTTTTGCATTACAAATACTTAAAAAGACTGAACCCAAAACCTCTGGGGAGGCCAAAGAAAGTGAACCGGAGAGCATTCAATAACCTGCCTATCCCATACAAGGGAGTGTTTCGAGCAACTATTGAAGGAGAAGGGCGATCCTTCAGTGCCTTGTTTGTTCTTGTGGAGGAGGATAGACAGCCTATTCTTGGTCTCAAGGCAAGTAAAAAGATTGGACTAATTAAAAGGGTTCATGTTATAGACAGCAAACTCCTAAGCAGTAGAACCACACAACAGAAAAACACAGACGAAAGTGCTAAGACAACCAGTGAGCTGGTGAAAAAACACCAAGAACTTTTTCATGGTGTTGGGTGTTTACCAAACAAATACAAAATACAGTTAAAGGACAATGCAGAGCCAGTCATCCATCCAGCCAGAAAAGTGCCAGTGGCATTAAAAGAGAGACTGAGGAAGGAATTAAAGACTCTCATAGACAAAGGGATCATCAGCAAAGTGGAAGAACCAACAGACTGGGTGAATTCACTAGTAATCGTAGAAAAGAAAAACGGAGATCTAAGGCTGTGCATAGACCCGAAAGACTTGAATAAATGGATTAAAAGAGAGTACTTCAAGTTGCCCACAAAGACAGACATATGGCAGGTGCACGCATCTTTTCCAAACTGGATGCGTCATCAGGGTTCTACCATATCAAACTGGATGAAGAAAGTGCAAAATTGTGTACATTCAACACGCCTTTTGGAGATACTGTTTCCTTCACATGCCCTTTGGAATTGCCTCAGCACCTGAAGTTTTCCACAGGACAGTACAACAGTTGTTCGATGGAATGGAAGGTGTTGGAGTATTCCTGGATGATGTGGTCGTATGGGAAACCACACAAGCTGAACATGATGACCTGCTGGCAAAAGTGATGTTAAAAGCAAAGCAGTCGAGGCTGAAACTGAATAAACAAAAATGTCAGTTTGGGGTGAGTGAGATAGCTTACCTGGGAGACAAACTATCTGCAGCAGGTATACAATCAGACCCTGAAAAAGTGAGAGCAATTACAGACATGTCCATGCCAGAAAACAAAATGGATTTGCAGAAAGCCCTAGGCTTAGTTAGCTATGTTGGACGTTTTATTCCAAACCTGTCAGCTACCACAAAAACACTACATAGTCTGCTGGACAGTGGAAAAGAGTGGCAATGGAGCCATGAACACAGCATAGAATGGAAAATGCTGAAAAATATCCTAGTAAAAGAGCCAGTGTTAAAATTCTATGATCCTGTACTTCCAGTAAAAGTTTCCACAGATGCTTCAAAAGACGGGTTAGGAGCAGTGTTGCTTCAGCTGCATGATAAAGCTTGGTTTCCAGTAGCTTATGCATCTCGAACCATGACAACAGCAGAGAGAAATTATGCGCAGCTAGAAAAAGAGACATTAGGAGCAGTCTTTGGATGTTGGAAGTTTCATGAGTATATTTACAGCAGAGAATTGGTGCTGGAGACGATCACAAACCGCTAATCGCAATCTCCACAAAACCTCTAGGAGAGGCACCACCACGCATTCAATGCCTACTACTTCATCTTCAAAAGTACAGCCTCACATTTGAGTTCACGCCAGGTAATCATCTGGTCATGGCAGATGCTCTTAGCAGAGCTTCCCTGAACTGTGCAGGCCCAAGCAGTACTGAACATGATGTGCAAGTACATGTGAACACGTTACTAAAGCACATACCTGTGTCTAAGGACAAATGGACACAAATTGCAGAAGCTACATCTAATGACAAGGAGCTACAAGATGTGATAAAGACAATCAATCTGCCAGGTGGCCAGAAACTCATACATCCATACCAAAACTTCAGAGAGGAACTGTCCGTAGTAGGTGGAGTTCTCTTGGAAGGGGAAGAGGATTGTCATACCCATTTCAATGTGCTCACAACTGCTGCAACTCACACATGAATGACATTTATGCATCAAAAAGTGCAAAAGACTAGCCAGAGCTCTAATGTATTGGCCACACATGAACAGAGACATTGATATGTACATACAACGCTGTGAGACATATCAACAACACAGGTACCAGCAACAGAAAGAGCCACTTTTGGTGCACAACAGACCAAACGAGCCTTGGAGAAAGGTGGGAACTGACCTGTTTCACCTTGCAGGTAAAGATTACCTAGTTATGGTAGATTATCATTCAAACTACCCAGAAGTTGCTTACCTGACAGATACAACCACAAAACAAATGATCAGGCACTGCAAAGCCATTTTCGCAAGACACGGAATCCCATTGACAGTGGTGAGTGATAATGGACCGCAATTCAGCAGCCAGGATTTTAAAGACTTTGCTGAAATGTATGGGTTTGAACATATGACTTCAAGCCCACTATATCCACAATCAAATGGCTTAGCTGAAAAGGGAGTGTAAATTGTGAAAAGACTCCTTAAAAAAGCAGCAGAAACTCACAGCGACCCTTATTTAGCCATGCTTAACTATAGAGCTTCGCCTCTGGAATGTGGGAAGTCACCAGCTGAACTTCTTATGAACAGGGAACTGAGAACACGACTACCTTTAGCTTCACACTTGCTGGAGAAGGGGAAGGAGCACTGTCCAAAACAGAGCAAGCAAAGTTATGATTATAACAGGACAGCCAAACAACTATGTCCACTAGTACAAGAAGACGTGGTACGAGTCAGATGTGATGGAAAATGGGGACCAGTTGCTAAGGTAATCAAAGAGACAGCACCAAGGTCCTATGAAGTCATTACCGAGTACGGGAGCACACTGAGAAGAAATCATTGTCACCTACTCAAAGTACCAAACGTAACTTTTGAAGAACTGGGAAACGGCAGCAATGACGGACTAGGAAAAGACACCAGCCCAAAGGCGAAACAGCCCAGTTCCACAGCTGGGACTGCTGGTGGCATGGTGCATACCTCACGTGACTCTTACAATATAACACCTACTCGAATAGGACAGGACAGACCACGCAGAAACATTATGAGACCTAGGAGACTGATCGAGGAATGATGATTGAGTTGGCATATGTCATTACCTCATTAAATGGAAAAAAATATATATACATTTGACAAGGAGAGGGAGGCACATGTTGTTTACACTTGGTTATAATGTGCCAAATGTTGTTATCTACCAGAATAGCTTGGTTATATGTTTGAAATGGTTGAGCTAACGTTACTTTAGAGACAATACCTGTGAAGAATTTATAGTTGAGAAATCATAATTACTTGACACCGTTTTTTAAAAAAAAAGGGAGATGTACTAATAATATGTTCAGTGATAACATCCAACACCAGGTAGTGCTGTTGGTGGAATGTGTATGTCCGATCGCTGAATAAATACGTCGTCGGACTAAATGGCATCCTGTGTGTAAGTGCAGTCAAAACAGCAGCTTCACTGTGTGATTCCACTTTGGTGAAAACGTCTGCTGTGATGTCAGATTCCTCTTCAACTCCTCTACCTTCTCTACCTTCTGCTCTGCATCACGTTTTTCAGCTTGTCCTGATGTTTTGTCTCGTAGTGCCGTCTTAGGTTATATTCCTTAATTACAGCCACATTAGCTCCACAAATAAGACACACAGGTTTACCGACAATGTCAGTAAACATATACTCAGCCTCCCACCGGTTTAGAAAGGCTCTGTTTTCAGAATCAACTTTTCTCTTGGCCATTGTTAGGGGCTAGCTTTGACTTGAAATTAGGGTTGTATACATCAACAGACGCTTGATTGATCTGACGTAATTGATGCATGAATGATCACAGGTAGCCAATCGTTCAGTAAGGCAGCTGTTGCACTGCATTATGGGATTTGTAGTTTGTGTGTTATTGGCGCTTTATTTCGCTGGGCCATTAAAAAAAGATATATAAAATGATCTCGCGGGCCGGATGTAATTGTACGCCGGGCCGGATGTGACCCGCGGGCCTTGAGTTTGACACGTGGTCTAGACCTTACTTTGTAAAGTGTCCTGAGATGACTTTTGCTGTGATTTGGCGCTATACAAATAAAATTTGATTTGATTTGATTTGTTTCAGGAGTGTGTCAGATGTATCACAGGTGTTTCTCAGCTGTGCCCCTAGTGGTTCTCATTTGGGTTTTGGTCTGTCTCAGGTGTTTGGCACCTGGCAGGTCCACGTGGAGTAGAAGAGGTAGTCTCTGTCCTGGAAGATGTTGAAGATCTCAACGATGCCTCTGGAGTATCCAAACACTGAAATGCTGGCGTCAGAGATGGCCAAGTTAAAGGTCAGGTAGTCAGTGGGCTGCAGCGTGGCTCGCTGTCTGTACAGGACAAAGAGGACAATGCTGTTTCCAAACCAGGACAACCAACCTGAAACCAGAACAGAGGAGGCACACTCAGGTACATCTTTAACATCACCATGACATCATCACTTAACTCTCTTAGATCTCAGCAGCAATGACTTATGAGCTTTTTTACAAAAAGGTAGGTACTTTATTGATTCCTCAATGGAGAAATTTCAGTGTTTCAGCAGCAATGGAGAACAAACAACATAACACCATGAGAAACAAACACCACACACATATCTTGATAAACAAATTTCAGTACCTCAAGCAGCAATAGAGAACAGACAGCATAACACCATGAGAACAAGCACCGCACACACATCCTGATAAATAAATTCCAAGTACTCAAAAATAGATAGAATCAAGTACTTGAATAATCAAGAATTATTACAACTATTAGAGAAAAAATTGGTCGGACCACTCCCACAGCTCTCACAGATGTGCCATCTACTACAATGGCTTTAGAAACATCTGTGAGACCTCATTTATACTTGGACTACTTCTCCCTTATAGATCTCTCTGAGTTGACCTCAACAATTGCTTCATCTAAATCATCAACATGTCTCCTGGACCCCATCCCGACCAGGCTGCTCAAAGACGTCTTTCCCCTAATCAACACATCCATACTAGATCTGATTAACCTCTCTCTATTAACAGGTTATGTTCCACAGGCTTTTAAACTTGCAGTAATTAAACCGCTACTCAAAAAGCCTACCTTTGACCCAGGTGTCCTAGCTAATTATAGACCAATATCCAATCGCCCATTTATTTCCAAAATCCTTGAAAAAGCTGTTGCAAAGCAGTTAT